CTTTGATTATAGTTGATAATTAATCGGTACCACGACACACTAGCTCTACGGCCATTGAAAGATAAACTTTGATTGTCCAATACTTCTGGGAAGTTGTTTCATTACAGAGCCTAGTGTGTTTGGAACTTTCTCCTCATCCTAAAAGACACACTCTTACCGTCATCAAATCCTGTAACTGCAGATGGCCATCAACTGTCCACGTGATTCCGATGTAGAACGCTAACGCGAACGAAGAGAAATTTGTTAGTCCCATCAATCCGAACGACAAACCGACGAACAAATTTTTCAGAATACCGGCACGGCGTGCTTCAAGCAGCGCGATCTTGTACCTGGAAAATGAGTCATAAATTCTACCACGACTACACGGAGCTTATCAAAATAATATTTCGTATAGTTACAGTAATGTTACAGATGATCGCAAAAGGTATTATAGATGTTGACTCCATGGGCTTAAAATCAATACCCATTCCACAGCACACGCGATTATGGAGTGCAATGAACTGGGAAGCGACCCTTTTATGTAGTCGAATTTATTTCGACCAGATTGAGCGCTCGGAGCAGTAATGTGCGGCAAGTAACAGATGAAGCAAGATTATCACTGCCGCTGTTTCGGCTGCTAATTTTATACAGTCAAGTTTACCTTCCAATTTCGTAACGAAGACCGTTCAGAGAGCACACCGTACGTATCGACGATACTGTTTGTTCGACAATTTTACCGGCTTTCGCATACTTGATAGTTTCAGCTATCGTGAACGTCGACATCGACTGAAAATGTTATTTTTCAGGCGAATGTTCAGAAGGATGGTTTGCGCCCTTCACTGATAGTCAGCACCTCTGCTATCAATCTGATTTTGAGAATTTGACCTACATTCAGGTTACTGTGTGGACTGCCTTTAAGTTCGATACAGATGTTCACTTTACTCAAGCCATAGCAGGCACTCCCCTTTGCCTGTTTTGCTATCTAATTGTTGACTCATATCGGTTTGAGCACAACAACCTCCACCTAGACAACCATCAGTTTATCTGATGTAACGGATTCACCTTGGAGATTGCAAATCCACATAGTGCTTGAAGAGGTGTCACAGCCAACATGACCAAAGTCAATTTCCAACTGTGTGTGAACGCAATCACAAAACCTAAACAACAAGTACTACATAAGTACTTGATTATCAAACAATAATAGCAGTTAAAAGCACTGATAAGGAATTTGTTTGCTTATTGTTTGATATGAAGGACAAAAGAACAAATTAGTTGGCCTTGACCGACCCTTTCACATTTCGAAGATCGAGATCGAACAAGTTCAACCCCCCTCTGAGTTTCAGTCAGGGTCAAACCTGCTGTAGACTTTGTAAAATTTTCATGACACTCTCCCCACTCAATGGGTCACGACACGATCCCACTCTCCCCACCCATCATTACACCTGGAGGAGATCCCCACGAGCCTTGCCGGAGTAGTCAACACCTAAAATTGATACAATTCGGACCCCCTGCGGAAATGGGGGAGTCGGAGATGTTGCACATGGCCTCAGAATCGAATACTGTGGAAACAGCTATAGAAACAGCAGTAATGAGGGCGTTGGGGAGAGGGTGGGAAGGGGGTCATATTAGAATACCCTCTATGGCTGATGGAAGTGATGAGGGGGGAGGGTTGTATCGACACTCCCCACCCCCTTCCCCAAGATTGGAGAATTGCTGAAAAATTTTA